TGCAGGCATTGATTTCTTTTATAGTAACATTTATGACCTGGGTAGTAGTGGGCCTTTTCCTTTATGATTTTAGTTATACCACCTGCCTTTTAATATAAACTTGCTAAGATTTCTACTTCTGACTTAGGTGGGTTTGGAAATGATTTCAGATCTCCCACATCCCTTCCTCCCCATCTTCTAAAATAGGACTTTGCATAATTAAGTAGTATCAGAGGATAAGATTGGAGGTGGGAAAACCTCCCCACTGATCCCAGCTCCTCTCTGTACAAATTGTGTGGCCTTGGGAAGGTTACCCACCCTCCTACAAACCCCAGTTTCTTGTTCTTGTGAAATGAGAATAACATTACTAATTTTGTAGTATTGTTGCAAGAATTCAATTACTTTAAATAATATAAAATTCCAGATATCTAGTAGTGCCCTTCCCGCCATGTCCTAGAATATAAATTCATTTCTCTCATTGGTTTCCTTCTCCTCCCTTTATTTGCTTCCATGATTTCACTTAAAGTAAACCAGAAAAACCACAGAAATAAATTATTTGGATTTTTTTGTGGCCTTTTTACTTTTGCTAAGGAGTAATTCCAAAATTCCTGTTTTAGAATATTGACACTGCTGTTTGTACACAATTCTCTCTTCTTCCCCAGCCCATACCCCTGTTTTTTCCTTTGGTCTCTGCAGAGAATAAAGATCTCTGTTTACATTAAAGTCTTGTAATTCCTTCTTGTCATCTTGCTTATGATCTATAGCCCCATTACCATCTCTATATGGTTGCTGCTAGAGCTAAGTACCTTTGGGGCAGATTGTGGTTACTCTGCACTACCAAATTATAATGCTAAAATGAAGGTAGGCTTTGGTTTACAAGGCTACACCTAATTTTACGGTAAAATGGAGTTCAGGGATGCCTGGGTGGCTCAGCGGTTGAGCATGTCTGCCTTTGGCTCAGGACATGATCCCGCGGTTCCATCCGAGGATCGAGTCCCACATCCGGCTCCCCACAGGGAGTCTGCTTCTCCCTCTGCCTATGTCTCTGCCTCTTTCTGTGTCTCTCATGAATAAATAAATAAAATCTTAAAAATAAAATAAAATAGAGTTCAGCTTAGGTAGAACTAGGGGAAGCCATTAGTGGACCCACATTGTTTTGGTAAGATGAAGTAGATGAGTGTAAGAATAAAAAGCTTTATCAATTTAATGGAACAAATCAGTATATTAAAATATGCAAACTATTTTCAGAATCTAGTCCTTCACATTGTAGTGGTCTTCTGCCATTTGAATCTCATGATACAGTGTGAAGGCTTTCTCTTAGATCTTTATAGCTCTTGTGTCATTTTCTTCTCTGGTCTTTCCATTCAGACATGCTTGGGACCCTCCATTTGCTGCATTGCTCAGGAAATCTGTAGGTCCAACTATGTCAACCCTCAGCCACAGAAGCACCTCCTCAAGAAGAGAGTATGAAGGAAGGGTTGAGTGAATGGTTGATTGAGTAAATGCACTCTTTCTAAGTAGTTATAGCTCATATGTCTTCTGATAGTTCCCTGGGTTTCTAGCAGGCACGTGTCCCATTGTTGTTAAGTAAAGCCCGGTATGTATGTTTGACAAGTTAGCAGCATGGCAGCTCTGCTTGCTCCCCAGCCCTGCCGCTGTCTCAGGGATTGTTTGGTTTGGCAGTTGGCCAGCTCTCTGCTATAAGATGCATTTCCTTGACAGGACAAAGTGTGGAGCCGCATTAGCTGCAAAGTTTACAAAGGTTAGCTAAACACACACAATAAATATTAATAAACAAAAAAGGCCCACCCACCTTTGACTTTGAATTCTGTTTCTTCATTCCGTGTCTTGGAATCCCTGTAGTATTTGATTAATAACCAGTCTTAGGGTAATTGAGCCTTAAGTATCCTTTGCCTAAGTTAGACTGCTCACAGAGCCCTCATTGACTGCTTTGGTGACTCATTGCCACAGTGGATGGAGCTCTGGGATGACTGTTTAGTTCAAGGGGTCTTATTTGCATTTTCCTTGCTTCCATGTGGAAAGGCGGGTAGATGTGCTTCTCCATGGGCATTTATGCTGACCAGCCATGTGTGTGTCTAACAGCTCTGGAGGGCAAAGGATGTGAACAGGAATAGAGAGAGGTACAGTGCCCTGAGCTTGGACTCCCTAGAAAGTAATCAGACCTTGGTCTGTTGGCCTGGGCAGTTGCCTCTAACATTTACACCCTTAGCGTAGAGGGAGAGAGTAACAGTAACCTGCTGCCCCTGGAAACTGCCTATTTGGCTGGGTGTCTTGGAATTTACCAGGCCTACATTGTGGATCCTTTCCAATTCTGCATGCTGCTTGCTTGAAAACATATTTGAGAACCAGTAATCTTAGACTGCTTAGCCAGACCTCTAGAGAACCGAGGAAGAGAAATAACTTTAATAGTATGTCCTTGAGATTGTCCTGGGGCCATTTGTGGATGGCTGGGATTTCTGAAGGCCCTTGAAAGCCCATCTTACTATTGTCTTTCGCTCTCTGGTTTATGCACATCCATCTTTCTCAGACCACGTTAGGAAGGAATGAACCCTACTTTGTTTGTAGGATACTTGAGTTTGATAATGATCTAGAGAAATAAAATTATTCCCCATAGATGTAATGATTTTAACTTGAAAATTATCTCTGACTCCACTTAGCCAAGCAATCCATTTAGGCTAGGGTGAACTCTAACTTTTAGCCCATTCCATTCACAAACATTGATTGAATACCACACACTAATCTAGGCATTTGGGATATAGTACCACCCCAAAGACACCAAGATCTCTGCCTATGTGGAAAATATGTTCATGTTGGGGAAGCAGATAATAAGCATAGTTAACAATAAATTATATATTATGTTAAAAGGTGATACATGCTTTGGAAAAATGAAAAAAGCGGAGTAAGGTAACTTGTGGGGTACAGTTTTAAATGGGGCACTCTTGGCGTGATGACGTATAACCATTGACTTGAAGGAACTGAGTATTGTCTTGGATGAACTTATTCTAGGTAGGGTTTATGAAGTTACATTTGTGACTCTTCTCATGTTTCCATATACCTGGTTGTGACCATTTGGAGATTTCCATTGGTCAAGGCATGTTCTCAAATGAATCTCAGTAACAAAGCGCCTATAAGTCAGGCTGTGCTTTGTAGATCATCAAGTGTTGATAAACTTAATTCCATCTTACCAACCAAGCACAGTTTTATAAAATAAAATGTGTCTTTTATATTCATGTATTATGAAGTAGATTTCACAAGCATATATACAAAATGGCAACCCTCCCCCAAAAGCCAAACTGTATATGATATACTATTTTCAAGGACTTTTGTTAATATTCACTCACTATTATATGTTTTATCATCTTTTAGCTAGTGGACACTAGGTAGCAGGCATCATAGATTTAGGAAAAATTGTGGAAAGAAAACCTAAAATTGTAAAAATCCTGCCCTTTTAACTTAATTTTACACCCTAACCCCAGCGACCGGGAAAACATAGCTACTCTGATTTTATTTTCTCAGTAGAACATCTCAGCTGTCTTCAGTGGTGCAGAACTTAAGAATGACTCTTGAAGAGTATTGTCAGACAAGAATTAGAAGTCCTGCAGACTCTTACATTTCCTCTTGAGCTCCTCATGAATGTCAGAGAAGAATTTGCAGCCATATAACTATATACATACTTTTTGCCAGTCAGGTGGGAGCCAGAATTTCTATCAGAGGGGATTGAGGAGATGTACAGATATTTTGTCTTAACAAAAGAATGGGCTGGTTAGGGAGAAGAAACCAGAGGAATTTAGCCTGAGATAAATTTGGGAGACAGAAGTTTCATGATTTTCATTTTACTATTAGAACTGAAAATAGTGGGACGCCTTGGTGGCTCAGTGGTTAGCGTGTCTGCCTTTGGCTTAGGGCATGATCCCGGAGTTCCGGGATTGAGTCCCGCATCAGGCTCCCTGCAAGGAGCCTGCTTCTCCCTCTGCCTATGTCTCTGCCTTCTCTCTGTGTCTCTCATGAATAAATAAATAAAATTTAAAAAAAAAAACTGAAAACAGCGGTAGTTAATTGTACCCTTTTATCCTTAGTCCCTGTATGTTGCTTGGCACATGATGGTTCTTAATAAATCTTGAATTGATGTTTCCGCTCATTACTTGTTCTATCAGAGTGAGATCTGCAGCACCTAGCACATGGTGTCTCTGTGTACCAATTTTAGCTTCCATCTTTCTCCCCCTTCATTCCATCCCTGCTGAACCTCCCACCTCAGCCCTCTTACTGCAGACAAAAATTAAAAACAGGTTGTAGTTCTCACTGAGAACTCATTCTTTTTGACCCCAGAGCACCACTTATTTTCCTTACCAGTAATGAATTCAAAGGATCATAACTTCCAGTGAACCTTCTCCTAAATAGTTTTTCATTCAGGTTAATGTCAAGTCTTTGTATGCTGTATCTCTGTTTTACTTCTGCTATTGTCCTGCTGGTTTATCTCATAGATAGGGAGATATTATTCAATGCCTGCAAATATGTGTTGTTCCTGAAAAAGCTTTATGAGATTTGGATCTTTGTGAACTAAAAACAATAACCACCTGGCTTCAATCTGCTGTCCAGAGGGACATATTGTGTGTATAAAAGCACGAAACACAGATCTAAATCTGCTTCAGTGGTAAGCAGAACTGAGTTATGCGGGTTTAGCTTTCCAAGATGCCAGCCTCACATGGCAATGGAGCTGGGGAAGCCTCACTTTGTGGTTGCTAGATTGTCAGGAAAAGGGAGGAGCAGTGTCAGGAAGGAACATCTTTTTCAATTTTAAAGAGTATCACACATATAATAAGTGATGGAATAGAACTTAACCTCAGGGACACAACCTTGTGGTTTAGAGGAAAATGTCCTACAAATTACAGGTAGCTGTCAAGATGATACTTAGTGTAGTAAATTAGCCATCAAAGTACCAGCAGGATTTTTCCAATTTTTATCTGGCTTCTTAAATTGATTACCATGCCTTTCTTTTTCAGAGTGTAGTCCGCTGCCTGTGGCATCCAAAGCTGAACCAAATCATGGTAGGAACTGGAAATGGATTGGCTAAAGTCTATTATGACCCCAACAAGAGCCAGAGGTATTTCATATAAGTATTGCCTGTTTTAGATGGATGACAACAACTGGGGGAAGGGCTTCTCTTCCCACCCTGCTTTTATTTATTTCCCCCTTTGATGGAGATCCACTCTTTTAGAAAATGCAGCTGGCACAGAGTAAAGCCTCAAACTCCTGGTATTGTACTTTTAAAAGGATTTGGATATTGCCCTTGATCCATACAGAATTCAAAGTGAAAGTTTCCTGGGGATTTGCAGTTCTTTAGCTGAGATGTTGAGTGCAAAGGGGAAAAAAGTCTTGCCCTCTTTCCATACCACCCTGGACATGGCATTAGCAGTGATACATGTAAGGGATTAACAAAGTAGAAGACTAACAACAGGAGATGGAAATAGCTGGTCTGTTTTGTTCCCTTTCTGTTTGGGCTTTTATCAGGTAGTGGCTTGGATTTTTGGGGTGCTTCTCTGTCAGCAAAAGGGGATAGCACAACTTATTTCCTCTCCTACCCCATGCCCACACCAAATGCTAGACTTTAACATACCAATTTGTTTCAAAAATCTGAAAACTTCACTGGAGGCTCAATCAGTTCCTCAATTATTTTCATTTTCTCTGGGCACAAAGGTGAACATTTGTCACCACCCCAAAAAAGGATAGTTTTGTTTCTCTTTTTAGATACAGTACTTGACTAACTCTTCCTTTAGAGTAAACCTTGGTTAGCTAATATTAAAATTCACATGCTAAATTCATTGGGACCTCCCCCCATAAACCTATTTTGAGGTCCCACATCCTTTTTGAGGAAAGGAAACTCATCCTCTCAATGAATATTCATTGCTATAATTTGGATCTGAATAGAAGCAGACAGTGCTGTTTTCCCTTGGAACTTTGTGGACTAATGTTTTAATCCTTGCCCTATAAAATAAAATTGTTGCTGTTTAAGAACAAATAGGATTTTGTTTTTTAATAAAGAAATTGAAAATGTAATTAGAATGAGAGAGTCTGTTTCATTTGAGAAAACGATGAGTCGCATTTGATAGCACCCATTTGGAAGCTACTATGTTTGGAATCTTTAAGAAATTTTTGTATTTGTATTTGCTCCTCCTGAGAGGGATAGCTAATTATTGCTAAGGAGAAGTGAAATGTTCTAATCAAACTTTTGGTTAATCCCACACATTCTTGGGCAGTTGCCCCGTGGCAGCACTGCCAAGCCGACTCAGTTCCAGACACTTGTACTCTTATATTTGAGATGTGGACAAATGCCAGTTGGGGTGTAGACCACCCAGGTTGCTTTCATCTGAGACATAAACTAAAATTTGAACCCTGTGACCTTCAGGGTAAAAAGGTTGGTTAATTTTGTTTGTATCTCTCTGAGATCTTAAATTTTAAGCTATTTCTATAAATTTCTCAAACTAATGTTCTGTTGCCCATTACCTCTCCAATCCTTTTACTCAGTAGTAACCACTGACTGACAGACTTACTTTCCCATAAATTTAATCCCTTATCACCAAGGCCCCATCTGTTGCTATCCCTTAGAAAGTCAAGGACTTGGCAAGATGGTGTGCAAAGAGTGTGTTCCTGAAAGTATCTAATGCTTTTGACATGACTTTCTGTTTATAAGACCAAGTAAAGAAAATACTGTGCTTTTATCTGCCCCAGGGGAGCAAAATTATGTGTGGTTAAAACCCAGCGGAAGGCGAAACAAGCTGAGACTCTAACCCAGGACTACATCATCACCCGTAAGTTGTTAGCGTGATCTCTCCATCATCTCTCTCCCTTCTACTATAGTGTGGTGTTGATCTCATGGCTTTAGAGACAGAAAAAGTCTTCAGAGTCCAGGCGTATATTACACAATACCATGTAGACAGGACTGTGAGTCATGTAACAGCCAATCGCTTTAGCTTCTGTAACTCATCACAGAGACAGGGTAATTTCATGTAACTTTCAACCCAAAAGGGAAAAGCCTATTTGAGCTTAATGCATTACTCCATAGCAGCCTTTTAAAGAATAACAATCTGTTCTAAGAATAAACAAGAAAGAGTGCTGGTCTTGGAATCAGGAGACCTGGATTTGTCCAGTTCTACCAATGACTTGCAGTGTGATGTTGAACAACTGAACTTTATCAAGAGAGTGAGGAGACTAGGTGAAGGGTCTCCTTCAGTTCCCTCCAAGACTCTGTGACAGTAGTTCCAAAGACATTTGGACATAAAATGAACTACCTGGGGTACCAGAAATCTTACCAGAATAAGCAGCTTCTCTCAGGTTTGTCACACAACCTTGTTTTAACCTGGCAGATTTGTGTTTCCCAGAGCCAGAGCCTCAGACCTGTCACAGGTAGAAGCTAAGAAGGACATCTTGGATGCAGTAGCAGTTGTGATGAGCAGATCCCTGTGGACTTTACCAAGGTCTCAGTCTAAAGCCCAGGGGGCGCTATACTGCTGGGATTTTGTCCCTGGTGGTGGGTCTCCTGTAAGACCTAGTCCCTTGGAGCTTATGATCAGTAAGGAGATCCCATGACACTTTTTGCAAGAGCAGAAGTGTTAAAAGTCAGTGTCACAACCAGTCTAGCTCATGTAATTACATGCGGCCTACTTAAATTCCTCCAGTCGTTTGAAGTGAAAAGCTATTTTTCCCCCTCCTAAAAATACTGTTGTGTCGTGTTGCCCAACAGAATGACGGGTTGGCTGTTTCACAGCCGCCCCGACTCAAGGCAGGCAGGTTTTACTGGTGAGTGAGATGGTCCTAGCCCAACTGGTGCTCGGGGATGGAGGATACTGGAAGAGTTTCTGAGGTATTTTAGATGTTTCTGTCATTCATATTATAAATTCCTTTTGAACCCCTATTTAATCCATTACCTTCTTTACCCCACTCCCCTGGAAAAAAAGTTTTATCTTTTAAAGGAGATTTTACTCAGCATGTAAGGATCCAAAGAAATTATTCTGATACATTTTTTTGGTAAAGAAAAAGATCATTATTTAATTTTTTTCCTCAAAAACCCTCTCGCTTTCCTGTGGAACATCACTATTTCCCTTTTACATTCATATATTCTTTTAAATTATAAAATTTATTTCTGACATTGAGTGAACAACTAATAGCAATTGGACAAGTACTACTTTGATTCTTATTCTTTTGTCCCCCGTATAGAAGTAGGGAAAAGTCTCCATCAAGTCACTGTGCCAGGAGATTCAGGCACCCCTGTGCACTCAGGGCAACCTTTATCCCAGTTTCAGTGGGATAAGTGTTTCTCCCTTCCGGTTACTCAGTGTTGTCAACTCCTCCTGAGAGGTGGTCACATTTCAGAAACGTGTGAAGTGATTCCAGTGTTTGTGAGGCGTCCGAGGAGACTTCAGGGCTGACAGGCAAGCTGTTGGCATCATTCACATTTCGGTCCTGTAAGAAAAAATAAGGAGCAGTCCCATTTAATGTTTCATTTCAAAACCACAGAAATTAAGTTTAACTGCTACCCATGGTTTGGGAGATGGGGAACCTCACCAGTGTTTCCGTGACACTATTTGACAGTATTTCCTGAGTGCCATTAGTTGCCAGGAGAGGTGAACAATGAAGTCTGGTCTCAAACAAAATTGGCTAATTGGTTACGGTAAGACTGTCTTTTATTATTAGATGAAGGCTGTCATTATGACTTCCATTTCATCTTCAAGTTAGTCATGCTTCAGCTATGTTTTTGGATGGAAGGGTTATTATTATAATAAAATTTTTCAAATGTGACTTCTCGTAGCTCATGCCTTGCCTATGTTCCGTGAGCCCCGCCAGCGGAGTACAAGGAAACAGCTGGAGAAGGACAGACTGGATCCCCTGAAGTCTCATAAACCCGAACCTCCTGTAGCAGGCCCAGGTGACTGTGATCTAGCTTGTGACCTGCAAAGGGGGTGGAGGGGCAGGGTGGGGTCACTGATAGAGAATTGGGAAGATCTTTTGCTCTTGGATGCTGCTTTGTCTTTGAGAGATTTTACCACATAGTGGTTTTCAAACATTTGCTTTTTAGCATTGGAACTTTTTGCTTAAGGATGCAGAATCCTGGTGCATAAAACTGATAAAAATGGAGCTGCTGAGCATAGAGAGGAAGCCTGGAGTCCTTTCTGCTCGGTCGCTAACTTGAGCCCTTTTAGGTGACCTTGGTGGAACTCTAGGGCTCCTGGAACTCATATTAAAACCACTGCTCTCAATATTAGCTTCATATACAACATTTGGGTACTTTGACCAGAATCCAAGCTGGATTAGGTTTCACATAGGGAAAAGTGGCCATCATTTAATTCTATGTTGATAAAATGGAGCTGCCCATTCCCCTAGAGGATGAGTAACAGTCCTTAGAGTTTTTAAGAAAGTAGGTACCACCTCCTCCCAAAAGAAGACAGGAAGGAAGGAACGAATGAAGAAATGAAGGAAGGAAGAAACGTAGGAAGGAAGGACCAGAAGAAAGCAAGGCAGCATTGGCTATTATATAACACATAGGTTTACTAGATCCCATTTTACTAGTTATTACTTGTGTGGTTTCCGTTTTCCTAGGCTCCTAAGCCTGTAGCTTTTGACTTGTTTATTCATCCTGAATCTGAGCCTACATCTATTTGGCCTGCTGCTTCAGCCTTGAAAACATTTCACATATCTATCTTAACTTTTTTTTTTCATTTTCTCTGCCATTATTCTAATCAAAGTTCCTAAATAATATTCTTACCTAGATTATTGAAAAGCCCTTCTAACTAGGCACCTTATCTCAAGTTGCTCTCTTTCCTTCCCAGCCTGCTTCCATCCATCTTCTATACAGCTTTTATCTCCAGCTCCTCTGGCTTATAAGCTCCCCACTGTCCATTTGAATTTCCAGAGAATCGTTCTCTGCAGTCTGACTCTAACCCACTTTTGAGCATTCCATCTCACTTCTCTCCTACTCTGATCTTCTGATGTGACTGTCAGTTCACTCCTGCCCATAAATGCCCATTGAATTGTCCTCTTTCTGTATTTTTGTTCTGAAACCATTCTGCTCATTCTGAAAATGACCTCTGCCTGTAAAGCTTTCCCAAATTGGATCCATCTATCCTTAAAGACCTCCCCAACCACCTCAGCCTGAAAAGCTCTCTCCTTCCTCTAAGAACTATAATAGTTAGTGGCCACACAAATTGTTTCACAATTAATTATTTCCTACCTTATTTAGTTTCCTCTTATCTTGATTTATAGAATTAATCTTACAGCACAGTTTGGCTCTTCACATGTGTGTGTTTTAAATCTTCCTAAAAAGTCATACATTTTTGAGTACTAGGCACCAGGCTAGCTGTGGGGATCCATCACGGAGCGAACCCCTGCCCTTACAGAGCTTTCTGTCTACTAGAGCGGTTCCAGTACTGTAAAATAATGTGAATCAGGGTATTCAACTCATTTGTTTTTTTCTTCTACAAGGTACTTGGAAGATGGCAATCCCTAAGATATGTTTAAAGCTAAGATAGACATTTAACAAATACAGGTTAATTTTTTTTTTTTTTTTTTAAGATTTATTTGAGAGAGAGAGAGCAAGCACTTCATCCCAGGACCCTGAGGTCATGACCTGAACCAAAATCAAGACTCAGCTGTTTAACCAACTAAGCCACCAGGTCCCCTAATATTGGTTATTTTTATTAACTGAATTTCAAATTATAATGCCTAAGGAATCTTTTCAAGGCTTATACATGGCAAAGTATTTGTAATTCCTCCTTGCATTGGTACCACTATCTAGATTAAACAGCTAAGACATAAAAAACCCATCTCTTTCTATTTAAAAATGTTATAGGGAAGTTAAGGTTTGATGATTTCCTACTTCAGTTGTGATGATTGTAAAGGAAAGCTGAAGAGATGATACTGAAGTTACTCCTGAGATTTGTGTGCTTCAAGCCAAGGTCTGAATAAGCTCCAGAGTGCTCAAACCCTTGATTCCATAGGGAATGATAAAAATCCAGTAAACTTGAAGCTCTGGCCTCACTCTGTTACTCATTTAACCTGCCACCTTGGAAGCCAGCACTGAGGGATTCTCAACCTTTTCATATAAGTATAGTACATACAAGGAATACTTATATATTATTGTGCTCATTCTAGTTCTGATTTTTTTTCCCCCTTTGAAACAGGTCGTGGGGGCCGGGTTGGAACCCATGGAGGCACTCTGTCATCATACATTGTGAAGAACATTGCTTTGGACAAAACTGATGACAGTAATCCCCGGGAAGCCATTCTGCGGCATGCTAAAGCAGCTGAAGACAACCCATATTGGGTTTCTCCAGCATATTCTAAGTAAGAAAACAGCCTTTTAAAAATAGAAAAAAATTATTATGTTTAGTGAATTAGAAATAATGTAACTGGCTGCCTTGGGATTCTAACTCCCCATTTCTTGTTTTATTCTTGAGCCAAGTACTCACAGTCATAGGACTCTACAATGGTAAATTTTTAAAGTAGGTCAATTCCATCAGTTATGGCCTATTGTAAGCCCATTATGTGAAGCCCATTCTTCTCTGATTAAAAAAGGAAAAACACAACCCTATGTGTTATCTTAGTTGAGGAGGGTTAAAAGCAGATAAAAGGGAGCAGTTTGTAGGTCTGTCATTAAGGCATGCTTTTTATTTGCAGAGCTGTGTTTGGAAGTAACATGTACATAGGCAAAGTAGAGCCTGCCTGCTCAGATTCCCTCAAATAGCTCAGTGTGGATGAACATATAGTGGTTCCTAAAGCCTCTAAACCAAGAACATTTACATTAGAGAAAGGTAGTGAAAATTGTTGGATTCTTAAGTTTTCATTTTAAACCAATTTTAGACTTACAGAAAAATTGCAAAACAGTACAGAGTTCATGTACACTCTTCATCTAACTTCCGCTAAGGTTAACGCAATACATAACCACAGTACAATTATTTAGCAAGCCCAGGAATTTGACACTGCTACAATATTGTTGATGAAGCTACAGACCTTACTTGAATTTCCCCAGTTTATCCTTTCTCTGTTCCAGGTTCCTGTCCAGGATCACACTTTACATTTAGTTGTTGCTTCTCCTTAGTCTCATCCAGTCCTAACAGTTTCTCATACTTTCTTGTCTTTCATGACCTTGACACTGTTCACTAAAGAACACTTTTCTGTTATTTTGTACGCTTCTCTCAGTTTGGGCTTGTTTGATATTTCTCATGACTGGAACAAAACTATGCATTTTTGACAAGAAATACACAGAACTAATACTGTCTCCTTTCTGGTGCATCACATCAAGGATGTCATGTCAATATGTCTTACTACTGGTGATGCTGACCTTGATCCTTGGTTAAGGTCATGTCTGCCAAGTTTCTCCACTGTAAAGTCACTGTCATTCCTTTTGAGTTAATAAATTATTTTGGGGTGGTATCTTTTATGACTATAAATTCTGTCCCTCCTCAAACTTCTAATCTTATTATCCATGGGTAGTTTGCCTGCTGCAGTTATTACTGTGATGTTTGCCTAATGGTGATTTTCTGTTTCCTTCTTCCACATTTATTAATTGGAATTCTACTAAGAAAGAATCGTTCCTTCTCCTAACTTACCTTTTTTTTAAGTATTTTTATATCAATATGTACTTTCAAATACTTTATTTATGGGTTAAAAGTCCAGTATTATCATTAGTTCTTTGCTCAAATTGTTCCAGCTTTGGCCAAGAAAATCTCCTTTGGAATAACTCCTGTCCTCTTTCGACAAGTCCCTCTATTTTTTTGAGCACTTCCTTACATTCTGATACTACAAGATATGCTAGAGTCATCTTTGTTTTTCTTCCCCCAGTCCTGGAATCAACTACTTCTTTTTTTAGGTTCCTTTTGTTTGAGAACAATGTTTAAAAACCAAGACGCTGGTACTAGATGTGCTTATTGCTACTGAAGTGTCATTGCTTCTAGATCCTCCTAGGGCTTCTTAGCTGACAAAACTTGGAAATACATACATATATATATATATATATATATATATATACACACACACACTCTTTTTCTGAAAGAGAAAGTAAACTTAGAAGTGTTCTTGAATCCAGAACTCTTGACCATGAAGTGAATACAAACAGGAAAGAATGGACTACACATAGACAGAACTACTATAGGAAAAAAAGTGAATCAGAACATTTCAAGTGGTGGAAATCTTTCCTTCCCTCACCCAAAAAACATAACTCAGAAGAAAATGAACACAACAACACTCAAAATGAAATAAAACGTCCTCAAACCAATACGTGGAGATATGAAAAAAAAACAACTTTGAATCAGAAATATAAAACTGAGAACAGAAATGAACAAAAAACAGAGACAAAATCAGAACATATATATATATATATATATATGCTAACCTATGAAACACACACACACACACACACATATATATATGCTAACCTATGAAACACACACACACGTACATGTATACACACACACACCTCTGCATTTATATTTTAAAAACTGAGTTTATACCGATGCCTTTGATTTCAGTCCTATGCCCGTTTCATTTTACCTTTCTTCTTCCTGTGTTTTTAACTTCTTTCTCCAATAATGAAAAACCTAGTTCTCATTACTAACAGAATATTTACTTATTTGTTCAATTCTAGTATACGTATAGTTTCAGAATTGCTGATCCATACACCTGTGAGAAACATTTTCTCTAACCAGGATTTCCCTAACTGCATTCATGTAGTTTTCCCCCATCCTTTTAGCCTTACAGTATCCAGTCAAGAGGTTGTTTTTCATAGTTACTTGGAAGAGAGATTTTCTTTTCCACTCTTGTCAGAGTGGTTATGTAATTCATTTGAAATGCAGTTAGGACCATTTATTAGTATGCATTCCTTTTTTGGTTTTCCCCTATGTTCTGTTTATTTGGGAGGTGTGTGTAGGGTGTGCAAAGTATTAATCTAATGTTAGGAGCCAGAGCCTTAAAAAAGACTTGCTTTTTCTCTCTGTTCCCTCATTTGCATACCCTGCTTCTCTCAGCCCCTTCCATGTTCTCCCTCATAGGCAGCCTATCTCTTTAGTTTCTGGTTCACTTTCCTGTAGGTTTCTTGCACAAGAGAACAGATTTGTATTTTCTTCTACCCTCTCTTTTCTTACATGAAGGATAGTATAATATAAATACCCTTCTGGGCCTTGCTTTTTTTTTTTTTTTTTCCACTTAGGGTTATGTCCTGGAAATCATCTACATCAGTTCATAGAGCTCCCTCTCATTCTTTTTCACTGCTGCATAGTACTTCATTTATGGAAGTATCATCATTTATTCAGCCACTCTCTTGTGAGTGGATATTTAGGTTGTTCTGGTATTTTGCAGTTGCTGACAGTGCTGTAGTACATAAACTTATGCATATGTGTTTTTGTAAGAGGTGTATTCAAGTTTTTTCTTGATGTCTTCATATATTATTAAACTTTTATCTTAAATTATGAAAGAGCTGGACCTTGATCACTTTTCAGAACATTAATATGCTGGAAAAAAATCAATTACGAACCAACTCAACATACATCTTATACCAGTATCAGTTCCTTGTCTGCTAATCATTATGAGCTCCTTTGCATAAAAGAAAAACACATTGTTTTAGCTTGGGTTTCTTAGAAGTAGATCCTGAGAAAAAGATTCATATAAAGGTGTTTATTAGAAAGCATCCATAGAGAAACCAATAGGAGAGTGGAGAAGTATTGAAACCAAGTAAGGACATGTCAAGCAAAGTTTCAGAGATGGCCACTTCGGCTCATTCTGCAAAGTAACCCTGGAGACCCTGGTCACAGGCATGGTAACTGGAGTACTTAATACTCCAGTTATCTATTGATCCTTGCTAATGGCTGCAGATAGGGTGGGGAAGACATTCCCAGGTACTTCCAGCTTCCCAGGACTTTAGCAAACTGCCCTCTGACAAAGGGATAGGTCCTGCTGTTGTGAGTGAAAGCACCCCACACAAAAATGCTAAAGAGAAAAAAAAATGCTAAAGAGATTTGTGGGCTTCTTGGGAGAAGCATTGCATCCTCTGCTGTACATGCTGTAGCAGAACAGACTTGACTATGTAATATCAGTGGTGGTTGTTCACAATGTATACTAATAACCAGACAGTACAGATGGAACATCTCTGAACAATTAGTTGGATAATACTACAACAGCTAAGAGGGTCATATCAAGGCTGGCCAGCTAAATAGTGTGCATTTAGCCTTTTTTTTGTATAGAATTTGTGTGTGTATAAGCTAATGGATGTCAACACATCATTGGCAATCAGATAAGCTTGTAGATTATGCCTCTGTTGACACTTCTGTTTTTGACGGAGTCATTATTTTCTAGTACTATTAGGGTTTTTTTTTTTTATGCTCAAAGAAACTTATTTAGAAACATACAAAAAAAATAGCTGGGGAGAGAAGAATCAACAGAGCTATGTTTTAAAATTTGCTGAACATAGTGAACATCATTTGGAGAAAACTTTGGCACTATCTACTCAAATTTAAAATGCAAATACCCTTTGACTTGGCAATTCTGTGTCCAGAAGTTTTGCACATGTGGCAAATATGTATGTCCAAAGATACTAAGTTCAGTGTTATTTATGAAAGCAAAAGACTGAGAACAAATGTAAATATCCTTCAATGGGATATTGTTTTAGAAAAGTATATCATATCTATACAATTGAAGATAACAAGAAAGCATAAAGAATCAGCTAGATACATATGGATGGATATGTCCTAATCTCCAGTAAAACAACCAACCAACAAGCAAAAACAGAAACCAGCTTATAAAAACATGCTGTCTGCATACTTATGTTTTTAAACAGTGGATGTAACTACACACATATCTGATCATTTATACACGACTCCCTCTGGGAGGAAATACAAGAAATGTGGGCGGTAGGTATCTTTTAAGTAGGAGAACAAAGGAGCAGGAATGAGATGATGGGCAGGGTGCTGGGGTTGGGTGGAGGGGGTGAAATGAAAGGGACTTTCCAAGTTCCATAGTCTGCCTGATAGCACTGCTGGACTTTTTTCACTATGTGCATGTATTCCTTAAAATCTCAGACATGAAAGTTACATATGATATTAAAGCTAGATCTTTCATCAAAAGATGAAAGAAGTTTTAGTTGTTAGAAGTTAAAACAAAAAAACAAACAAACAAACAAACAAAAAAAGAAGTTAAAACAATAGCCTGGAAATTCTAAGGCCAGCTTCCTGGCCGGGTTCTAGCAAGGACCTACTATCCAGTAAGTTCTAAAAGTTATATTCTCATTGTCTCACTTTCTTCAATGGTAAATAAGGTCTTTGACACTTTCCTATAAATTATACATTGTTAATATC